TCCACCATAAAATCGCTTCAACAAATAATTATGAATTATTTTAAACAAATTAAAAGTTTAGGCCGGGCGCGGTGGCTCAAGCCTGTAATCCCAGCACTTTGGGAGGCCGAGGCGGGTGGATCACGAGGTCAGGAGATCGAGACCATCCTGGCTAACATGGTGAAACCCCGTCTCTACTAAAAAATACAAAAAACTAGCCGGGCGAGGTGGCGGGCGCCTGTAGTCCCAGCTGCTCGGGAGGCTGAGGCAGGAGAATGGCATGAACCCGGGAGGCGGAGCTCGCTGTGAGCTGAGATCCGGCCACTGCACCCCAGCCTGGGCGACAGAGCGAGACTCCGTCTCAAAAAAAAAAAAAAAAAAAAAAAAATCCTGTCATTTGTAGCAATATGGATGAATCTGGAGAACATAGTATTAAGTGAAATAAGCCAGGCACAGAGAGGCAAATGCTGCATGATTTCACTCATATGTGGAATCTAAAAACTGTGTCTCAGAAATAGAGAGTAGAATAGTAGCTAGCAGAGGCTCGGCACAGAAAAGGAAAGATGAATTCACAGGGATTATTTTCCCAAAAATTTAAAGAATTAACATGAATTTTACCCATCTCTTCCAGAAAATAAAAGTTGAAAGAATACTTTAGAACCCACTTCACGAGGCCAGTATTACACTGATACCAAAAGCAGAAAAAGACTGCACAAAAACAGCAAACTACATACCAATATAAATTTATAAACTTTGAAACAAAAAAATTCAACAAAATATTACCAAATTCAATTTAGTGATGTGTACAAATAATTATATGTCATGATCAAGCGGAATTTATTCTAAGTATGCAAGGCTGGTTATCCATCGTATGAACAAGGCAAAAGAGAAAAATCATATCAATAGAAATAAAAAAAAATTGTAAATCCAGAACTCTTCATGTTGAAAACTCTCAGTAAGTTACAAATAGAAGGGAACTACATTGATAAAAAAACTTTTACAAAAAACATACAGCTAACATCATACTCACTGGTGAAAACTGTTTGTTCTCCCCTTAAGATTGGGAACAAAGTAAAGATGTTCACTCTCACCAATCCTATTCACCAGCGTATAGGAAGGTCTAGCTAGTGCAATAGTCAAGAAATAGAAATAAAAATCATAAAAATTAGGAGGAAATGAAATTGTCCCCATTTTCAGATAACATGGTTGTCTATGCAGAAAATTTCAAGGAATCTAAAAACAAACAAACAAACAAGCAAAAAAACCACATTCCTGGAGCTAAGAGGTAAGTTCAGCAAGGTTGCAGGATGTAAGATCAACATATTTTATATACTACTAATGAACTGTGGAAACAAATTTAAAACACAATACCATTTACAATAACTCCAATGTGATTGCAAATACTTACAACCTTAGGTATGCTCTTAACAAAACATTTACAAGAGCTGTACAGTGTAAGAAATACTTAGATATACACTTAAAATATTTATAGGATCTGTACACTGAAAATTACAAAATGCTGATAAAAAAATCAAAGAAGATCTAATAAATGGAGAGACATTCCAGTAAGTGGATTAGAAGACTCAACGTAGTAAAGATGTCAATTCTCCCACATTGATAAACAGGTTTAATGCAATTCCAATCAACTTCCCATCAAGATTTTCTGTAGAGATAGACAAACTTATTCTAAAATTTATATGGTAAGTCACAAGCCCTAAAATAGGTAAGACAATTTTGAAGTGGAAGAATAAAGTATAAGGAATCACCCTCTGCAGTATTAAAGCTTATTATTATTTTCAAGTATGAAAATGAACATTTATTTAGCATGAGAAGGAATTGCAATAAATAATAAATTCTAAAATGTTGAAAATACCATAATCATCACAAAAATTTTTTAAATCCAATATTTATATTAATTAACTTCCTGACACACTTCTATAATACATTCTCCCTACAGTTTTTAATTGCTTTCTCTTTAATTGCCTCCCTTATGAGAATTGTTTTGTTATATTTTCTATGGTGAGAAATGAAAAGCAATTATATTAAAGCTTATTATTGGCCACAATAATCAGGAGTGTGGACTTGGTGCAAAAATACACATACAAATTAATAGAACAGAACAGAGAACCCAGAAATAGCCCCACACGAATATGCCCAACTAAATTTTTACTAAGATGTAAAAGTAATCCAATGGAGAAATATCAGCTTTTCAATGAATAATGCCAGAGCAATTGGACACACATGAGTAACAACCACACACACACACAAAATAACCTTGACCTAAACCTCACAACTTATGGAAAAATTAACTCAAAATGGATCATGGAGTTAAATGTAAAGCATAAGACTATGAAACATTTAGAAAAAAAAAAGAGAAAAATCTCTGTGAACTAGAGAGAGGCAATGAATTCTTAAAAATAACAGAAAAAGCACACTCAATAAAATTTTAAAAATTAGTAAATTGGACCTCATCAATATGAGTAACTTTTGCTCTGTGAAGTACCCCATAAGAGGATGAAAAGACAAGCTAGAGTGAAAGGAAATATTTGCAAACCATGCATTTCACACAAAGGACTAGCATTTAAAATATATAAAGAACTCTCAGAACTCAATAGTCAAAAACAAACAGTCCAATTAGACAATTTGCCAAAAAAAAAAGTAAAGAGACATTTCATCAGAGGATAAACAGGTGACAAGCACATGAAAAGATGTTCAGTTTCATTAGCTATTAGAGAAATGCGAACTAAAGCCATAATGAGATATCACTACACATCTATCAGAATGGCTAAAATAAAGCATACTGACAATATCAAATGCTGGTGAAGATGTGGGGAATCTGGATCATTTGTACATCGCTGGAGAGAATATAAAATGGTACAGTCACTCTGGAAAACAATTTAGCATTTTAAACACAAAACTAAACATGTAACCACTGTGAGATCCAGCAATCACTTATTGGATAGAATGCCAAGTCTCTAAATATATGGAAATTTTTGTGCACATAAAAACCTATACATGAATATTCACAGTAACTTTATACACAAGAGCCAAAATCTGTAAACAACCTTGGTATCCCTCAGCAGGTGAATGGTTAGACAACCTGTGGCACATTCATACCATAGAATATTACTTAACGATAAAAGGGAATTAACTATTGATACACACACGTTGGATGAAATTTGACAGAATTATGCTGAGTGAAAAAACAACCGCCAAAGATTCCATATGTGTGACTCCATTTATATAACATTTTGAATTGATGAAATTTTTTAAATAAGTGGAGGACAGATTAGAGGTTGTCAGGGTTCAATGACAAGGTGGGTTAGAGCAGCAGGGAGGTAAAGATTGTAACAGAGAGGTTCTTGTGGTGACGGAATTATTTTGTATCTTGACTGAATTTACAGGTAGTGGTCATAGGAACCTACACATGTGATAAAACTGTATAGAACTAAATACACACACATATACACACAAATGAGTACAAGTAAAACTGGGAAAATATAAAGATTCGTGGATTATATCATGTCAATATTCTGGTTGTAACACTATTATAGTTTTGAAGATGTTACCATTGGAGGTAACTGCATGAAGGGTACAGGTCATCTCTCATTAACAGTTCTTATAACAGCATGTGAATCTATAGTTCTCTTAAAATAAAAATCAACAAGCCTACAAAGCAGAGCTTTCTCCCGCCTTTCCTCCTCCAAACCCCCAGCTAATTGTTAAATATTTACCAGCATGTAGAACCACTTATTTTTGGAGAAAGGATTTTGTGTTAGTGAAGTTCATTGCAGTTTTTTTTTCCCCGAGTGCCTGACAGAGACTAACAGGTGGCTGGAGACAATAGAAAAGCCTGTGGCCTTGGGAGAGTATTTCTACTTCCCTTGGCCTCAGTTTTCCTTATCAGTAAAACAGAAATTAGTACTAGAGGGAAGTAAAGTGAACACTTATAGCAAACCTATTTTTGACTCCTTCCCTTACCCTCTCAGAAAAGCCCATTGAACTATGCATTATGAGTCTCCATGTTACGTACAAGGAATCAGAGGCTGAGAGGCATGCCCACCGCAGAACAAAGCCAGAATTGGAGTCCAAAGTCCCGGTACATTTCTTTACTGCTTGCTACCTGGAAGCCAGTCTAACTCCCCGACTCTAAATCCTTCAAGATGGCCTCTCCTGGTGGAAGCTGAGTTGGGTATAGAATGGCTGATCCTCTGAGTGGAGAGGGCTGGAAAAAATCCAGCTCATCCCCAGCCAGTAGATATGATTGCACCAGAAGCCACAGACCTCACGAGGCTGGCCTCCCTCCATTTACACCGCAGAGCTACCACGCAGGGACAGCTGCTAAGTTCCCCCGGCTTGCGTGTCTGTTCTCTGCTGTTCCCTGCAGCACAAACCCAAGACAGCTCTAAAGGTCGAGAGCATTCCCCTTAGGCGGCAAGTAGGGATTTGGGTTCAGCAGCTGTGAGCTACGGAAACATGGGTATCAACTCTGAATGAAAAGGGTGCAACGTTGGCACAGGGGACATGCCTGGTCCGTGAGGAAGGAAAGAAAGATTGCCTAGGGTTGGAGACCACACTGTTCAACAGAAACTGCCTTCTAGCACTCAGGAGTCTCCTTGGTGCTTTCCTCACAAACTACCAATCTGCTGCCCGTGATGTTTGAAAGCAAAGCAGTGTTTAAAGCCCTAAGCTGGGGGTCGGGAGACATGGGCTTCATCCAGTCCTGTGACTTCCTTTTAAGACTTTGGACAGGCCATGCTCCCATTCTGGGATTCAGTATCCTCCCCCATAAAATAAGGGAGTTGAGTTGGGGTCCCTGAGCCCTCTCCCAGCCCCGCCAGCCCCCACAGCCAAGGTTAGCTCTAAGACCTGCATGTGGGGCTTGCCTGAATCCACCACAGCTCACAAACATTATTAGAACAGAAGTCCTAGTCGGATTTCATTTTTCTTCCAAGGCTGTTTATTGCCTAACAAAATGTACTTAGTGGTAAATTCGTGACTGTGATGTTAAGTGTAGGCTACGAAACCAGAGACAAAAAATATAGTTAGGGGAGGGGTGTGCAGCACAAAGCCAGAAGAGGGAGAGTTATGCAGAGGGTGGGGAAGCCTTGAATTCACAGGAGCATCTCATAAACACAGGCACCGTTGCTTATTTATGCACATCCTATGCCCTGCCTGGGTTCCGCGTGGTCTCCACTTCTTGTTAGCTTTTCAGCTGCACACCAGGCCCCAGCTGGTAGTGGCTAATTGCAATCAGCAGGTGAGAAATGTAGGTTCTCCGAAAAGGAATTATCTCCAGCACTGGGAACCATTCTGGGAAATGTAACAGACCTGGGAAGAGAGGGGGAGATGTTTAAAACCTGAACTTCTGTGAAAAGCATTAATTGAAAAAGACAGCACCGCGCACCAGGAACCCATGACTTGCTCGCCTGAAAATATAATGAAGCGACTTAGTGTGGAAGGAAAGATGGGGGAGCATTTCCATTTCTGCACAAGCAGCTCCTGCCTTGTGCACACAAGCCCTGCCTGCCCTCTTTTTCCAAGAGACCCAGAGAGCACAAAGGTTTGTTCTTGTAATTTCATGGTTACCTTTACATTTTTTTCTGCGCGAGTAAAATGACTTCACCAAACTAAGGACTTTTTATTTATTTTTAAAAGACAGACTGCATGCAATCTACTGTGTAGCTGAATGGCTTTACGAAGTAAGTTCAAAGTAGGTTCACAGTGTCTCAAGGTCACTGAACACCAGGTGTTCATTCAGCCCAGTGCCAAGTAAGAGAGTGGAACATGGGTGCAGCCATATACCCTAAAATGTTATTCAGCTACTTGGGGAAGTGAGCCCTGAGTCAGAGAGCAAAGTCCTGGCTGAAGGCTTGTCTGTGTCCCCAGCCTTAGGATGCTCTCTGTGGCTCCTGTCAGAAGCACCTAGGGACAGGAGAAGGGCCTGGGTGGCCTTCATAGGTCTTACTGGCTGGCCCTGTGAAAACTCACCTGATCACCCACAGATTCGGCTTCTCGCTGTGTGTTATCAGAAAAGGGAGTGAAAAGCGTACCAGAGGGGTGATTTGAATTTCATTTTCTCAATATGTCCCCCTGTGGGGAACGCTGCGTGGTGTGCATGCTGATTCAAAGAAAATTGTCTCTGCTCACAGGGGTTTAAGGCTAGTCATGGGCAGCTCACATTACACAGAGCTGAGAGGCGCCCTGAAAACCACCTGGGGAGGCCACACAACCAGGGGACTGGCCCAGCCACCTTTATGGAGAGGCTGCGTGATTTGGGCAGGCCCCAGAAGCCCTGAGGACTGCTGTGTCATCATGTATAAAACCAGCGAATTGAATGCCACGACCCTTCACCTCACTTCCCCTCTTGGATTCCATAAAAGGCAAATACTAAGATGTGGCTTCAAATACAGAAGATTCGCTCCCCAAAATAAATGTTGCCTGGGGGTTGGGGGAGGGTGGGTGGCTTTGTCGTTTCTTCCTTTTGGTTGTTTGTAGGACAACGGGGAGGGGGAGGTTAGGCTCCAGAGCCGATCTCAAAAAGAATCACAGTCCCTGGTGGGAGGTCAGACTAAGGACAGATGCTCTGACAGGCCAGGGAATCTTTGTACACCTGCAAGTACTCCCCCTCCTTCAACTCCCCAGCCACCTCATGGGCCAAAGGAATGTCAGAGGAGAGATTAAAGTCTCAAGGGGAGGAGATAAAGAGGCCTTGAGACCTTCAGCCTTGGAGCCAAACCCCAGGCTTTGTGATCAAAAGACAAATAAACAGCAATTCCCACTGGGTCTCTCAAATCTGCTGAGCGGCACAAATGTTTCCTCTTTATAAACAAGCTTACCTGGAGAAGGCAAAGAAAACCAGACCCTGAAATCCCACGCCGTTTTTGGCAGACCCCTCAGGAGAAACTGCTGCAGACAGCTTATCAAGTGCCTTTCTTATATCTCTCTGAAATAAGATGTCCTAGTCTGATAATAAACTGCAAACAAACGGAATCAGCCCACTCTTCATACCAGCTTCCTCATCCTGACAGGGAAGGTTTCAAGTATGAGAAGGTTTACAATTAGAAGTCGCCAGAAGGATTTCAGAGGCCACTGGATCAGGAAGATGAACAGAGAGAGTGGATCGCCCGTGGCCTCTTTTCAACAAATATTAGGCTCTGTACTGCCAAATTGCACAATTCTAGGGGGCACTATTCACATTGAAGTCTATAAAGCTGTGTTCCAGGGGGCATCATTCAATGGGGAATGCAGTGCCAATGGTGTCCTGTGGAGTGAAGAAAGACAAAGGCCACAATGAGTGCCCACTAGGTGCCACCACTTGGATACACCAGAGCACATATAAAGCAAATCTCTGCCCCAGTGACACTTACCTTCTCATTAGTAAGTTACGTAGGAAGGTAGACGGCAATGGCCACTATAGTAAGACTATATTAGCATGAAGAGTGGGGAGGGTTGCAATTTATAGTAGGGTGGTCAGGGAAAAGTTCCTGAAGATGAAGTTACTTTAGAGCAAAGATGTGAAGAAATGAGAGAGTGAAACCTGTCAGAAGGCTCTCTAGGGTAAGAGGGATCCAGGTAGAGAGGACAGTGAGCACAAATGTCTTAAGGCAAGAGCATGCCTGGTAGAGCCAAAGTGCACCATGGGAGCCAGTGGAGCTGAAGTGGAGAGGCTGAGTGTGTCTCTGCAGGTCCTGAGTGCAGTAGAGAGTCACAGAACATTATCGCTGGTGCCCTCACTGCTCCATCAGCCTGCTCTGCCAGGCTGGGATCTCAGTAGCCACCTCACAGGATTCACAGGACTCCTTAGTTCTCCATTAACTAACACCTAGTCTCGGATATAGTCCCGTTTAATTAATAACCAACTAGGAGTAATGCCCCACCCCTCTGAGTCCCTAGCTCACCTGCATTTCAATGAGGGTGGCTGTAAAGACAAGTCAGGCTTCAGACCTCAAGCAGCAATCTTGGAATGCTGTGAGAGGACTGAGAGATGCTGAATTCTCCCTGCTTTGAAGTGCTGGGGACCTAAGACCATGGGGTCTCCCACACAATTCCCCGCCACCATCATCTGAGCAGGGGTCCTCATAGTGTGTCTTGGAGATGGAGACACGTGGAAAGAGAGAGGGTGACTTAAGGTGTCCCTCACCAACTCCCCCAGGCTTACTGCAGAGACAACACCCTCTTTCTTCTCCTATCTCACCATACACAGAGTGATCGAATGAAAGTTTGCCTGACCCTCCCCCACCACCTTTTCCCACAAGAAAGTGGAGTAACCAATGGAGAAAATGAACTGCATCTTGGACTCATCTGATTTTGCTCAGAATCTCTGGCTCAGGCATCTAAGATTGATTCGGTCTCTGTCATACTTACATACTCAAATGCCCTGGCACAAAGAGTAATGCAAGCAGTGTCTACCCTGCTCAGTGTGAGATGGGGCTTGAGGGGGTGACCCAGGCATTTTGATGACAAGTTTGTGGCTGAGCGCCCAGAAGATTTCTTTGGCCAGGACCTCCTCATTTGCTTTCTAGCATTTATCAACACCAGCAATGTGCCATGCCGACAGAGCCTCTAAGCAGAGGCGACACTGGAAGCAGGAAGCCTGTTCTCCTGGAATCCTGGGGGACCTGGTCTCCACTGCAAGGCTGTGTGACTGTATCAGTTAAGGTTCAGTCAGAGAAGCAGAAACCACCATGAAGGTCTAGAATAAGGACTTTATGATAGGGACTGGACCTTCCACAGGTGTAGAATCTGATTAAGCAGTCTATGTAGGTCTGTTGCTCTGCATCTAGCTTTGAGCCTGAACACAGTAGAGTTTGCTGTCAGGAAGGAGACACGCACATGAAATCGGGGAGAACATGGACAAACTAGAACCCACCCTGGACAGACGAAAACCCCATCAGTTTCTCACCATCTTCAACTTTACTGATGCAGGTGACCTGCAGGCTAGGCCAGTGCCCTTTACCAACATAGTTGCACACACACCCAGCCTTGGGACCCCAGAAAGCCAAGGGAGGAGGCCTGGATGGGACTGGAGAGGTTGCAGGCCTGGCTGTCACCCACATCAGCAAAGTAAGCCTTCAGATCAGTGATGACACCTGTGAGCTGCAACAGTGCCCACTAGCCCTTCTCCTGACAATCAGAGCATAGGCATGACTGCTGCTTCACTTCCACCTACAAACTACACACAAATTTCTCTTCTGACCAACTCCAACCAGAGAGAAAAAGGAAAGGAATTCTGGGAAACACAGTTCCAGCTTAGCTACTACAGTACAAAGCCACCACAGTGACTTTGACATCAAGCCTCAGTTTCCTTGCCTGTAACATCTAGGGGTTGCCCTAAAGAAAACTGTTTGGGGTATCCACCATACGAGGAACAGCTTATTTTCTCACTCATCTGAAAACCAGCTAGGAAAGCATGCTGTACCAGGTCTACCCGCATTGTGTGCTGAGGTGCCAAGAGAGCTCCAATACTATTGCAGCTTTGGGAGTCTCCATTGGCTGGAACGACTCCAGCATGTTAGCCCTAATCCTAAGAGGAACTCCATGTTCTGAGCACATGCACCTTGTGCCATTTCCCCCCCTTATCCAGGCCAGGAGGAGAGAAGCATTATCATCTGTCTTCCCAGGTGGTAAACCTCAGATCCAGCATGCTGCTGGACTGGCACCAGTCACCTGGTTAAGTGGTAGTTGCAGGTGGCAAAGATCCATGCTCCATCTTTAACATTCAGGCTGAGAAATTCCAGGAGATTGCAGAAAGACCTTTAGGCTGCCCACAATTCAATTAACAATCTGAACTCAAACATTTCACTAGGAATTCACCTTCTAGGTGATTCCAGAAAACTCTAATAAAACCTAAGGAGAATTTTTCTGAGCAAATAAATGTGAGCACTATGATCTGTGGGGAGCTTTCCGCAAAATATAACCTTTGCAGACTCTACTTTTAGGCACCTGGATGGGAAAGAGAAGTAAAGACCGTATACAATAAAGACAGAAGTAAATTCAGAAAAGGAACTGGAAAAAAATTAAATTACTTAAAAAGAAAAGAAAAACATTCATTTACAACCAAAGAAATGAAGCATGAAAAGAAAGTATCTTTTAAAGACTACCATACCATGGGCCTCAGCTTCCTCATGGTGGAAAAGGGGCTAGACTTGATGATCTCCTCCAAAATTCCATGAGCTTAGGAGAGCATCGACAAAATCTAAATAGAGCTAAAGGAACCCACATCAGCATAAGCAAAATGCAAAGAAAGGAAGGAAAGAAAATGCCAGAAGGAACGTCTTAATTCATAGCACTTCTTGGAAAGAACTATCGTTTATTGTGAGACGAGTTGA